ATTAGGCACTTTCTGGGAGATGCTATTCAAATGTCTTAGGTCTTAGGCCTGCAAAATAGTCACCAATACAAGATATACCAACAAATGCCAATTTAAATGATACAGGCAATAAATACCACTAATTTTCACCATCTTAAAAAGAACGAAATTAACAAAGATAAGGAGTCCAATAGTTATAAAAAGAAAAAGGCATGTGTGATCATGCAAAGCAATACCCAAGTGGTTCAATGCCTATAATATCTACCTCATTTTAGTCATTAACCTAACATGTGACCCTAGGAAAAGAAAGTCTCTGGATTTTAGTTCTTGCATCCATAAAAATACCAAACTATCTCAAAAAAGCAGCTGACAGAACAAATTCAAACAGGTTCAAAATTTACAATTTCTAGAAAAATATTTATGACAATATTTTAGAGAATACCCTTCACAAAAGCACAGATTAGTCCTAAGTAGGTAAGTTTCAACACAGCCACCATCTTTATTATTATTTTTTTTTTAGATTAGAAAATATAGTTTATTTCGAAAGTTAATTAGAGAAAGAGGAGATTCACCTCCCCAAGGTAGGGGAGCGGGCCAAAGCATAGGAAAACATGGCCTGGCCACAGCTCAAAGAACACATGGCCAGACCATAGCTTAGCAAGGCAATGGCCTCCACCATCTTTTAAAGAGAAAACAATACATCAAAATCACAAGTGCCATGATGCCTACATCCAATGAATCTAAAAATTATCAGTTAGGGCCAGGTTCCGTGGCCCAGCCTGTTATCCCAGCAATTTAGGAGACTGAGGCGAGTGGATTGCCTGAGCCGTGTCTCTACAATAAAAATCAAAAATTAGCCAGGCATGGTAGCACACCCTGTTGTTCCGGCTACTTGGAAGGCTGAGGTGGAAGGACTGCCGGAGCCCAGCAGGTCGACGCTAAGGTGGTCATGAGCATGCCACTGCACTCTAGCCTGGGCGATAGAGTGAGACTCCAACTCAAAAAAAAAAAAAAAGTGTGTGTGTGTGTATATATATATACATGCCAAAGTTAAAAATTAAATACATACTAAAAGTTAAGCTAAGGTTCCATTTAAATGAGTAGCCAAAGTGTCATACCAAACAACCTACAAAGCTAGAACAATCCAAAAAGCCTTCACTGCAGTTAACGATAAGGTTTACATAATACAGCATCTTCATGAAACACAGATTTTTCAAAATGTTTGGCTTTCAACAATTAAGATCCACTCTACAGCTAAACATCTTCAGGAGAACAGTAGGTTTACCTTTTCAGAATTCATACTGCATTCTATTAATTTTAAATAGAGCAAACTTTACAAGTAAAAAATAAACAGCTCCACTACCAAAGATGTAAGAACAGTGGCAAAGAATTTCCACTTCAAAACTTAACTATTTCTTTCCAAAGTACATAAAAACAGGTAACCTGTCATAATGAAATATTTTCATAAGAGACTTTAGAGGCAAGTAAAAAGATCTCTTTTAGGACCACAAGAAGAAATGGCCAGCTTGGTTTAAAACCAAGTGAGCTTCAAGTCTGGACCTTTGGCAAAAGACTGCATGACTCACTGCTTTAGAACTCATTGGGAAGAATTGGAAAATTCAGTGTGGCCTGAGACTTTGCTTTGGGTTTGTTTTCTAAAGCATCTCCATCTTAATGTTGACAACTTCCATAGTCTTCGTGGCCTATTTATTAAGATGAAAAATTGTGAATAACATGAACCACATGTAAACAAAAAGGTGTCATTTTTTCCTGGATATTTAAAATATAAGCCATAAAATAAAGTCATTTACATATATATGTATATATAAGTGAAATCTATTACTTAGTATATATCCAAGAGAGAAGCATTTATATTCTTTTTAAAAAAAACAGAATATAGACAATAAACCTGGATATTCTAGCTAGAAAACCAAAAGTTATGATACTGAATTTTTCCTTCCCAGAAACATCTTGAAATCTCTTTAACACCAGAGATCTTATGTGGAAAAATAGATACCAAGTAATTCTCCTAAAAACTAAAGTCGTCCCAACCACATTAAAAGTTTTATAAATATGGAATTATGAAAAATGTAAAACGCTGATTTTCAAATTAAGCATAAGACTCTGCCACATGTACCAAGAAACTTACACATACACACATCTGGAACTAAAACTCACTTAGGCCAAATTATGCTAAGCTTCTGATCAACTAATAATCTACTGGAAAATCACCACTCCCAGTGTGCTTTTATATCTACAAATAGTAGTGACTGGGATATGTAAGACACGTAATATAATGAATTATCATTCCCAACCTTACTCATTTCTTCACTATATTAACCCTTCTACTTCCTAATCATTTTTAAAAGAACAAAAATGTTAAACTCTATCACACTGACAAACATTCACAAGACTCGTCAAAATCACATTTACCACATAAATTTGAAATTCTTTTTAAGATCTCTACTCATACGAATGCTTGATATAAGATATTACAGTGACCTACCTTCTCTTATGGTAGTATCTCACAAAAAGGTCCTTTTCAAAGGGCCAAAACAAGAGAAAAGGTCTAGATAAACAGTCTTTAATACAAATTATCCCTTTTCTCCTATTTGATGTTTATTATTTTAAAATCTCAAATAGATCTACTGTTTTAATGCAAACTGAAGTAAAAGGAAACAACTGTATTATTCTTATTAGATTTTTACAGTATACCTGTACCTACTACTATTTCTTACCAAATATTTGACATTTATTAATTTACACATATTTGACTAGAAAAATTAAAACCATTAACAAGTATGTATATATGTGTGTATGTATCTTTATACATACACACACACACACACACACACACACACACACACACACACACACAGACAAATGTAGAGACAATAAGTGCCTGCTTTAAAGCAGGAACATTGCTTTTTATCCCAGTAATTCCATGCCCATCTTACAAAAAAAAAGGTGGAAAGGATGAGATTTTAAGATTTACTATAGAGAAATGCCTTTGTTGCAACAACAATTAGTATCAAATAACCTCACAAAACATAAGCAAGAGAAAGACGCTATGAAAGGGCAATCTAGCATTTCACAGCTTCTGCTTCCTTACTCCACCCAGTCTTCTCGGCTCAATGGCTGTTCACAGTATCCACAAATATTAGCCCATTTTTTAAAAAGGAAGTGGGGGGGAGGAGAGGTACCAAATCAGAGCTTGCTCCATCAAAATCAACATATCCAAAAATATTTTGTGTGAAAAACTGGGTTCCTTTCTCTAATTTTTAAAAAAAGCTTTAAATTTCTTTTAGGAGATACTCCTCTTTTGAACAATCCAAACAATGATCATTTATGATCACTTATGAACGTGAAAGAATAAATCACACTAAATGCAGATTATGCTTCTGCTTTAATAAAAACTGCAATTTGCAACTGCCAATTATTTTGCATAACTGTGTCCTGAAAAACACACATTAGAGATTAAAAGCTGGCTAATGCCTTAAAACCATATCAGAATTTTTTAAGTAAAAGCTTTTAATATGTATTCAACATCACTACCGACATAACCAAGCAGGAAATTTTCCTGATTAAGAGATTGGACCCCGCAGCAATCAAGCTCTGCTGCAGCAAAAAAAAAAAAAAAATTAAGCAAACACTGCTGTGGCAAAAGGGGAGGGATGACATTATTACTGGTATGAAAGGACTGTCTCCTCCACCCTAGCCTCAAAAAGAAATTCACACAAAACAACCCACCCCCCCAACAAAAACAGAATTGCCAAAAATGGTACAAAATTTTTGTTTAGGCTTTAAAACGTTATGAATCTCAAGGACTGTGTGATTAAAGTGGTGGTCGTAATAATAGTAATATCTCTATTTCTCCTGATTGCCTCTTAAGGGAAAGGGGGGGGGGCTTGGCAAGACATCGCCCATTGAGAACAAGTCACAAATCTGGTCCCTCTCTCCAAAAGCACAATTTCTTAAGCAAAGTACTGATACAAACTGGAACCAAATCTCAACCAACAGAAAATTTCCTGCCCTCTTTCCGAGGAGTTTCTTGCTAAATCACTGAAGAAAGGCAAAATAACAAATAAAGCCAAGGCACCTTGCTCTCTCCTATCAGATATTGAAAACCTCTTCCTCCCTACAGTTATGTTTAGAGAGGTAGAGTCCAAATGTGCCCACCACCTCAAAGGCATTTTCTCTCCTGGGAGGCTACAAGAGGGTAAATATCTACAGGCACTGCGTCTCCCAAGGAGTGGGGAGATTAGATTAGATGAAAGAGAATGGCAGAGGGCCTCGAAGCTCAATGTAACAACGTCAAAAGGCAACTCCTGTTCGAGGAGCCGGTGGCAGAAAAGAAAATCCTGTAGGATTCGGTGGGTGGATGCTGCAGACTGCTCGGTGGGTGCAGAGGCTGGACCATCACACTGGGGGGCCAGGGAGGTGATGGGCCATCCTCCTCAGGTCAACCCCATCCTAAGGACAGGTGGGGACGGAATGCCTGGAAGGCCCAGTGAGTACCGCGGGCAACGCGGGCTGAGCCCCGTTCCCAAGCCGACTACCGCGGGTGGGGTGGGGGCTGTGGAGCTCGCCTTCAAGGCCGGGGAGAGGAGGGACGAGCTCTTTCCCCAAGATCTGAGAGTGACCTGCTCCCCACGCCCTTCCTACCCAAGAATACTTTTCCTGCTAAGTCACCGAGGGAGGAGGGCGATTCCGTCTCGGGGAGGGCCGCGGGTGGAGTCGCGGCGGCCCCGGCACCCCTAGAACCAGGGCCGGGGAGGAGAGGAGCAAGGGCAGCGCCCTTCCCGGCCAGCCCCCCTCCTCCCGTGTCTCTCACTCAACGGCCGTCGCGGCCGCCATTTTGAGAGCGAGGAGAGAAGAAGAAGGAGGAGGCGGCGGCAGGGGGAGGGGAGAATGGGAGGGAGGGGACCGGCGCAGCCACATCGTCAGGCCGCCGGGCCGGGCCCGCAGCCGCCCGAGCGCGATGGACACAGAGAGGTGGACGAAGACTCTTGCCGCCTTACCGGAGCGCTGCACTGCCGCCTCCGCAGGGCCTCTTCCGTCCTTCACTCCCATCCACCGGCGGGGGAGGGGGGGAGGGAGAGGGAAGGGAGGAAGGAGGGAGGGAGGGAAGGAGGGAGGGGGAGGATGGCGCGCTGGGCCCGGACCCGGGGAGGGGGAGGGGAGGGGAGCGGGCGGGCTCCTCAGCCGTTCCGGGGCTCGAGCCCAAGCCCGGCGCTCGCGGTTTCTCTGGCTCGCGCGCGAGCGCTCCCCTCCTTCTCCTTCTCGCTCCCTAGACCCCGGGTCGCTGCTCGTTCGCTCGCTCACTCGCTATCTCGGCCGCCGGGCTCCGCCGCCGCCCCGCCGCTCCAGCTCTGTCTGTCACAGGAGCTGCCCCAACGCCCTGACGTCACCGCGCCGCCGCCGCCGCCCCAGACCCGCCAGGAAGAGGGAGGGGAGGGGGCCAGGAGCGGAGGAGGGCTGCGGCGCATGCGCGGGGTTGGGCCGGGCCCTGAGCCGCCCTGCCTTCCGCCTAGCCGGCGGGCGGCCTGCGGTGCTGAGGGTCGGCGGGCGAGTTTGCGCAGGAGGCGCTGCTTCTCACGCTCCTTACGCCTCTGTAACCTTGGGAAAGGCTTTTTCCCGACACCCTCGTCAGGCTTTCGTGGCCCCTTACAAACTCTGGCCCTGCTCACCTTCCCGCCCTGCTTTTGCTCTCATACGACGCCTTCCCACCTCCCGGCCGACTGCAGCGACCCGTTGGCACCGGTGCATTGCGGGCCGGGTAGGCGCGAGAGGAAGCGGAGCCAGCGCCAGGCTGCCGCCCCTGCTGCCTCCGGCCTGCGAGATTATTTCCCAGTTTGGGGGGAAAAGGCGAGGGGAGTAGATTGGTTAACTTGGGAGGAGGAGCTGTTGCGGGTAAAAGGCAGATGGAATGCCTTAATTGTCTTCATTTTTTATTATAGATTTTTAATGAGGAGAATTCGCTTTTAGATGTGATTCAGCTCTTCTTTCCCTTGGTCTCAGTCACACATCAGAGACTTTCCAAGTCTCCAACGTGATGCCTAAAGAAAGACCTGGAACTTTATCCCTATAAATTCTTGGGAATTTGTAGTCAATTTATTCCACACAGATACCCCCGATTTTAAAGAAGCAAGATTTGGGGATCTGAATAATTCAATATGGAATATTCTTTTAATAAAAGATATCAAATGAGATTATTTCATCATGAATTTGTGTTATCCAAGGAAACTCTTTTCTTGAGACATAGGCTTGAGCTTACGCTTTTTAATTTTATCCCTTCCCTTATCTAGGTAAATATATACACTGCATTTGGGAAGAAGCAGAGTTAATGAAAGACAACTTATGTGTGAATCCCTGATCCACCACTTGCTAGAAGTGTGACTTTAAGTAAATTACCATATCTCTCTTTGTCCTTGCTTTCTGCATAAAATAGACCTGATAACTAACTTGTAAGGTCTTTGTGAGAATTGGAGAGGAGATGCTGCACGCAAAAAGTATCTCACCTTTGTAGGGACTCATAGGTAACTCATGTAACCTTTACTGTTGCCCTCCATACCAAAACAAGTTTCCTTTTATCAAGAAAGGTTCTATCCCTGGATGTGTTCAAAAGGAACCTGAGCAGTTGTATGGAGAGTAGGTTTTTCCCTTCATGAAGGCAGGGGACTAAATCAAAATGTTCTCTGGAAGATCTTTCCCAAGTTTACAGTGCCAATATTTTCTAGTAGATAAGGACAAGATGAGACACAGAGTTTTCATCTGTGCTGATACTTAGGTCCAATAACAGTCAATAAACATAAAATAAATTAGCATCCCTTTGTTCTAAGAATCCACCCTCCTTTTATTTTTACCTTTTAAAATATTTATTATTGCCTGATATGCTACTTAATATTTAATTAGCTGAGTAAATCAGTTCTTTATTTTTTCAATGAAGGTTATAAAAGTCAACAAAATCACACAGAAAGAAATCAGAAACACATTAATAAACACTGATTTAATACAAACAGGTAACCCTTATAAACCTTGAACTCAGACTCATGGAATTTAGAAAACTTTAAAATCTGTAATATGTAATTATGCACTAAATTGACATCAGATTTTTATTTCTATAGCAATCCTTCAAAAAATAATAAACTAGGCCGAGCGCAGTGGCTCACGCCAATAATCCCAGCACATTGGGATACCAAGGTGAGAGCATTGCCTGAGCCCACAGGTTTGAGACCAGCCTGGGCAATTTGATGAGACCTCATCTCTACAATAAATCCAAAAAAAAACCAAATAAACTCTCTTTGGGAGAAGATATAAAACTTTCTCTCTGGATTATGATTTATGATTTATGATAACAGAAAACTCATATCTTAATGTGATGTGGACCAATGTTTTGTGGTTCTATGCACTTTCTCTTTGGTTGGTTACTAAGATGATAGGTCCATTTTAATAAATGCTTGCCTATTGGAAATGGAAAATTAGGACATCTGTGCTCTCAATTATAATTTATAAGGATTCATACAACATATACTATATTCATCCAGGAAACCTTTAATAATGAACACTTTGGATGGTGTTTCTTGAAAAAACATTAAGTGTAAACATCAGTTTTACTTACCACAACCTAACGATCTCCCCATTCATTTGAATTGCAAATCTTTATTTTTCCAGCAGACATTTTCAGAATGGAAACGTTTATTTCAATTGCTGCAGTAAAATTAGTGTTAGTTAAGCCACTTCTACAAATAAGCTGACTGGAAGGAATGCTCCAAAAATATGGCTATTGAGAAAAGGACAAAATGTCTTCTAAAAGTATCTCTGGAGCAAAAATCTGTTTACAATGAGTATAAGTGTTAAAGCATTGTTTTGAGAATTAAACTGTCCTCTGTAGTTTATAGGCAAATGTACATTATTGTGTGTGCAAATTTGATAGAAAGCAATTAGTAAAAGGTGACAAAGACGCTTTTGGGCATACAAGATGTGTGAATCAAAGTCCCATTTAAAGGAGAGCCATGACCCAACTGGAAAGGGACTCATTCTAGGCAACTTTAGCTAATTAATGTGTGTACCTGCCTTTCCCTAAGACATGGATATGTCAGTAAAGGCAAGTCCAACAGACCAGTCATTCCTCATCTCAGCATCATGACATCCTCATAAGTCATAAACATTGGGAGTCCATAGAAACAAAGGCTTAACAGAGTGAAACTCTCAGCCGAGACAAGTAACAATATTTAAAAGCAGCACTAAGGGCTGGCTGCCGTGGCTCATGACTATAATCCCAGCACTTTGGGAGGCCAAAATGAGAGGATTATCTGACCCTGGTTCAAGACCAGTCTGGGCAACTTGGCAAGACCTCATCTCTAAAATAAAAATCGGCCAGACTCGGTGGCTCAGCCTGTAATCCCGTGCCTTTGGGAGGCTGAGGTGAGTGGATTGCCTGAGCCCGTGGGTTCA